TGCGCTCGAGACTAGATCGCAATATATTTGTTTGAAGGAAAATCCTGAAAACTTACATAAGTTAACCCCACTTTCAAAACGCTACTCGGCAATGTGAAAATCATTTCACAGAATTCACTTCTAATCAACACCTTCACCACCCATTTTCTACATTGCTCATTCACTCCACCACCCTAATCGATCCCTAATCGCCTTCGCTATTGCTCTGTCCTTCCATTACGTCACACCCGATGTCGCACATCGTTACGTGTAGCTGGTATGAGAGGCGTGATGCTATCAAGGGTACACTTCATTTATGAACTTCAATTTTAGCTGTTCAACCTATTGTATCTTCACCAGTTCTTCAAAGTTGAAAACCCATATTTAGTATAAGACACTTTGCCCCCCAGTCCCATCGGAACTGGGGGGCATTATCACTAAGAACCGACCAACTTCGATAGAGAAGCAGACATTGTTAGCGAATGACATCTATTAGCCATTTGCAAACGATGTGCACGACAGGAATCCGAACCTCAACGAACCCCAAGTCGGGTGCAGACGTGAAGCGAAAGCACTCCCTCTGCGCCAATTGGCCGGTTGAACTTGGGAGAACTAAGACCAACAATATAATAACGGCTCGTGTTGGCAACAACACAACAAGGTCGCATAGTTAATTGATTTTCGATGAGTCATTTCATGACTTCCTACCTGCTCCCTATTTTTTCTGACTATAAATATTTGAAGCTTTCCATCGAAGTGGAGCGTTTTAGCAATGATATTATGGAAAAAAAAGGGAATCCTCGAGAGGGAGAGGTCGTCTTTTGTCATCAGTTTTTCTCTTTTCCCCCATTCTCTCTGGACATATACAGTTGAAGTCTTCGATCGAAGTGGAGCGTTTTAGCAATCATACTATGGTATATGTGATTTCTACTTTCCACTTTTTTCTTTCCACTATATTTTTGATATTCGAATTTGTTGCCCTAACCATTGAGACTGGCTGTAGCACCTCCAACTATTCACAGGTATTGCCCGCTGAACTCAGCGGCTCCTGTAGTTACAACGGCGAGAGTTTCTTCGCACCTCGACAATAGCCTGCTCATTAATGGTACCGCAGTTGTAAAACTATTTTACAATCTGTATATGAATGAAGCGATTGCGTATGAACTTGGAACTGAGGCTGATATTTATTAACCAGTCACAAAGATTTTTAGTCATAAAAAGTGTTAGTCATTATTAGAATGAATTAGTTTTATTTTATATCCATCAAAAGGAAATCTCAGATTTCTTGTAGCAATCTTTGTCCCTATGGCATAAGAAGGAGGAGAGCCCGGCTTCAGCTGGGCGATCGACTAGTTTATTAAAACATAGGAATTATACAGATATTTATTTATTTACAGAAAACTTATTTACATTCAAAAAAATCTGTCGTCCGGGGGCGAACTGTCGGTGAAATCATACACTCCGTCACTCTTGGCGGAGTCGTCAGCACTTCATCATGTGACAGAGGTGAACGATGCTCTTGTGCTTGTATGCGAGCTCGTGTATTGCGAACTCTGGCGTTCAGAGCATTTCTCACCGTCTGCCACACACTTTTTTCCGAGCTCTTCGATACGGTGAAGTATTTGAAAACGGCCTATGATATGGAAATTTTTCCATGGAGATAGCACTTTTTCCCCATTATGCCTTCATTTATATATGAGTAGAAAATATCACCTTTTGCAAGTAGTCGATTTCTTTTTGCTGAGTATATTCTATCCTCCACATTCTTAAGTAGCTCCAAAGGGTTGTCTTCGAACAGTTCCTGCTCTACTGCTAGAGCGAACTTCGTAATACTCCCGTGCTTGAGAGACAACAGAGCCTCGAGTCGATCTTGAGAGAAAATCGAGAAGTCCAATCCGCTCTCTAGATTGCAATTGAAAATGTTAACGAACAAGTTGTAGTGATTAATAAAGGATAATTACCTGTTGACCGACAACTTAGTTGCTCTTTAAGTTCTCGAATCTCCGCCTGTAGCGCGATTACGCGTCGCTCGTGGCGGTGCTCCATCCTATCCATCTTTTTCTCGAGATCCCGAAATGCGCCTACGGTGGCTAACCTCATTAACCTTATTTGCTCCACCAGTTCGCAGTTGTCTGCATTCGTTCGATTCGAATTCTCCCTTGCCACAATCTCGTCTCCTCTTTCACTCAAAACGTCGCTCTCAGGGATGGCAGTGCTCTCTCCGACTGTGAAGAATGTTTCCACCAATTTTCCATCTTCACCCACATCCGTTGTCTTCTCCTCACAGAGACTTTTAGATGCGATTAGAACAATCTCAAGAAAACTATGGAGTTATATCACGAGATTTTATTATAGACGTTCATACCTTTGCCGCGTAGGATCTCCTGTTCCAACGTACTTTAACTGTCGAGTTGATTGTGCGTCCACCAGTAATAGCTGACAGTGAGACGATGTCAGCGGTCTTGGATGACGTGAAGAAGACAATAGCGTGATCAATGATAGTTTAGTTGGAATCCAGCCTTTCATCCTTTATATACGACCTCGAGTTCCAGTCCGATACCCGAGATACGCCCTGTTTTGAACCCAAAACGTTGGACCATGACCTTTGCTGTAATTGTAGACGCCCCTACTAAACTTCACTGCAACAGACCAACACAGTCGCCCTTGTTCCCGATGTCTCTTCTTCGCTATAGCAACATTATTTTCCCATGCATCGTGCCGGGAAATCAATTTCGGGAATTCACAATCAGCTACGACTTATGGACTCAACGATCACCTACTACAAGGTCCGAGTATTTGTTCGGAAGCATTACACTCAAGGACTTCCTTGTGAAAGCGTCTCATATCAGCCCAAAAACATCGTTTCGCATTACGCACAATTAAACGCAACATAGTGGACAGTTACTCAGCGGATTCTTCAACTACCATTACTTTTGTAATAAAGCGCCTTCGTGATCGGAATATATCCATCAGTGCCTCACAGGTACGCCGTTTGAGAAATAAATTAGGATACCATAGAACTACGACAAAGTACAGCCACATGATTCGCGACGTCAATAAGGAGAAAAGACTCGGCTTCTGCACTAGAATGATCGAAACCAACGAGGATTTTATCAATGCATATTCACTGATGAGTCCACGATCCGAAGTTCGTTTACATAACGCTTATAAACCATTTCACTTATTTATAATGTATCAAATTATTTTTCTAGTTGATTGTCTGTCCGATACTGTTTCGTGAAACAAGTGGTTTCTTTGCACGTCTACGCTCAAGGGCGAAGCATCCAGCGAAGCTTCATCTTCGGGGCGGAATATCCATGAGAGGTGCAACAGGGATCGCCATTTTTCTCGGCGAAATGAGAATGGATAGTGAAAAGTACTGCCAAATTTTGGAATGCTGTTACAATCCATTCAATAAGAGTATTTACAATGGTTGATTACCTGAATTTGTTGAGATGAGTCAAAATTTTGAAAATATTGTGCAGTTGTGACCGGCGATTTTGAGGATTCGATGTACTCGTGCAGGACAACGCCCCTGCTCACAAGAGCGTGTATACAACTGCACGCCTACAAATGTGGAATGCTAGAATTCTTGATTGGCTACCGGAGTCGCCTGACTTGAATCCTATAGAACTTGTATGGGGAAACATGAAAGCTTTCATCAGGTTGTTAAAGGTTTGTCCGAATCAACAACATTCATTTTCGTCTCTTTGTAAATTGACCATTTCTTTCAAGAAGGCAAGACGTACGAACGTTGGGACAGTTGAAGAGCGCAATCTTAATCTACTGGCAAACTCTCACACCTGCAATGTGTGCGAGATATATCTTAGGAAATAGAAAGAAGCTCGATCGAGTGGTTGAACAAGATGGAAAGAATATCTGTGAGGGCCGAGAGGAGCATTTACAACCTTTGTTTCATAATTATTTGGAAGGCTTGTAATTTTTTGATTGATTCCTGTGTTTTAATAAATATTAGCCTCAGTTCCAAATTCATAGGCAATCGCTTTTAAATATACAGATTGTAAAATAGTTCTACGACTGCGGTACCATCAATGAGCAGGCTACTGTCGAGGTGCGAAGAAAATTTCGCGGTTATTACGGCAGGAGCCGCTGAGGTCAGTGGGCAATACCTATGAATAGTTGGAGGTGCTATAGCCAGCCTCAACGGTGAGAGCAACGATTTCGAGTATTAAAAATGTAAAAAGTAGAAATCACATATACCATAATATCATTGCTAAAACGCTCCACTTCGATGGAAAGCTTCAAATATTTATAGTCAGAAAAAATAGGGAGCAGGTAGGAAGTCATGAAATGACTCATCGAAAATCAATTAACTATGCGACCTTGTTGTGTTGTTGCCAACACGAGCCGTTATTATATTGTTGGTCTTAGTTCTCCCAAGTTCAACCGGCCAATTGGCGCAGAGGGAGTGCTTTCGCTTCACGTCTGCACCCGACTTGGGGTTCGTTGAGGTTCGGATTCCTGTCGTGCACATCGTTTGCAAATGGCTAATAGATGTCATTCGCTAACAATGTCTGCTTCTCTATCGAAGTTGGTCGGTTCTTAGTGATAATGCCCCCCAGTTCCGATGGGACTGGGGGGCAAAGTGTCTTATACTAAATATGGGTTTTCAACTTTGAAGAACTGGTGAAGATACAATAGGTTGAACAGCTAAAATTGAAGTTCATAAATGAAGTGTACCCTTGATAGCATCACGCCTCTCATACCAGCTACACGTAACGATGTGCGACATCGGGTGTGACGTAATGGAAGGACAGAGCAATAGCGAAGGCGATTAGGGATCGATTAGGGTGGTGGAGTGAATGAGCAATGTAGAAAATGGGTGGTGAAGGTGTTGATTAGAAGTGAATTCTGTGAAATGATTTTCACATTGCCGAGTAGCGTTTTGAAAGTGGGGTTAACTTATGTAAGTTTTCAGGATTTTCCTTCAAACAAATATATTGCGATCTAGTCTCGAGCGCATTGGGGTGATTTCAGAAGCCCAAATGAAGGGAAGGCTTCAAGACAATTAACTATTCCCTACAAACCATGAATATACTTCGAGAGTTCCGTGTGCGTTTCTTTGGT